GATAAATTGACACCATCAAATCATTCAGGGAAGTTGCCAAAGTACAGATTCTATATTTCCTGATTTCACCTCTTAGGTCCGAGTACACAGTTATTTCGTAGTGCATTTCTTTTAGACAATAAATGAAAATTAAAAAAATCCCACCTGCGCTTTCTCAATAATATTTTTACAGTGTGTTGTACTACTTTTGGGACAAATTATATCAAAATTATAGAAAACTTCATCGGCTCTAACTCAAAATATGGACAATTTCATGCTGAGGGGGTCTTCAAATCTTTTGACAGCCTCCGAAGTGCTAATTTTTAACATTTTTCAGCTGGACCAAATCACTACTTTACTTTAAAATTCATGACCCAAATTTTTTTACAGTGTCATTTCACCCCCCTACTTACTATTTGAGTCATAAAACATGGAGAAATAAATTCGGAAGGGGTATAAAAAAAATCGACAAGTAACACACTGTCCACACTAGGGACTATATTCGTGGACAACGCAAATCAAAGGACGATAACTGTGTACCCGGACCTAATAGGGTAGAAAAAGTTGACCAATCTTAATGAAACTTGGTATGACCAAAGCTTATTAAATTATAGGACTGCTTACAAAGTTTCATGGCAATAGGATATATATTATAGACAATATGACTAATTCTATATTCAACTTTGAGTGTTAAATTTAGATGTTAAAATTGAAAATTTTCAACTATCAACATTTGGGGCTTAAAAAATTTAAATATTGCAAAAAAATACTTTTGAAATGCCTTAATATATAATATATTATGTATTAAAAGCAATAGAGTACTCATTTGATTTATCAGACTTATCATAATTATTAAAAAGTCAAATTTATATGAGCCTGTGGCTAAAAATGGAGGTTTTCCAATGAAGGGGGGCCTTACATGAAGATGTAATATTTTCCAGCAATTTTAAATTTGTAAAGCTTTTTGGTTATAAATAATCCTTACATATGTATTTAATGTACTTTAAATGGAAAGAAAACTTACAAATAACATATCACATTAGTTTAAAAGGGTCTTAGGCCAAGTAAGACTGAAAATAATTTAGGGTCAATTTAGGCCGTATCACATATTTACATTTAAAAATGCATATTGAAGCTATATGAAATAAAATTTTGTGTCTTTTCTATCATTTCTATACTCAGGTGACATGATACAATAAATCTGAGCACAAAAAGACTCTTGCATTCAACTTTTTTTGCAAACAGTATGGTCTGATACAAAGATTTTTCACTTTTTAGTGAAAAACATGCATGCAATTTTAGTCTCAACAGGCTTATATTTGAACCACTTGCTATCCTACAGAAGAAAAGAAAGATATTATGTGACATAAAACAGGTACAAAAGACATTGTTAAGTGCTTTTTATACAAATTTAGTGAGGTCTTTATAATGGACTTCAACTTTTATGTTCCAAGCTCCTCACATTTAACTCGATCCAAACAGGGCGTTAGACGAGGACCATATATACAACACATTTTGAACATATTGTCTGAGATAATCTTCTTTTCTGTAGATTCAGAGTTCACAAATGAGTAATACAACTGGATTGAAGCATAGAAACACAAATATTGACACATAAAAACCTGTCAGATAGAAAGTCAGAATGCCACTTATGCATCAAAATTGAAAAAGCTATGAAATGCTTATTTTGACCATAAAATGCCAAAATTGGTCATTTTTGCAGAAATTCTATCAAATAAAAGTTTTAATCCTTTAGTTTTATGCTATTTGATAAATTGACACCATCAAATCATTCAGGGAAGTTGCCAAAGTACAGATTCTATATTTCCTGATTTCACCTCTTAGGTCCGAGTACACAGTTATTTCGTAGTGCATTTCTTTTAGACAATAAATGAAAATTAAAAAAATCCCACCTGCGCTTTCTCAATAATATTTTTACAGTGTGTTGTACTACTTTTGGGACAAATTATATCAAAATTATAGAAAACTTCATCGGCTCTAACTCAAAATATGGACAATTTCATGCTGAGGGGGTCTTCAAATCTTTTGACAGCCTCCGAAGTGCTAATTTTTAACATTTTTCAGCTGGACCAAATCACTACTTTACTTTAAAATTCATGACCCAAATTTTTTTACAGTGTCATTTCACCCCCCTACTTACTATTTGAGTCATAAAACATGGAGAAATAAATTCGGAAGGGGTATAAAAAAAATCGACAAGTAACACACTGTCCACACTAGGGACTATATTCGTGGACAACGCAAATCAAAGGACGATAACTGTGTACCCGGACCTAATAGGGTAGAAAAAGTTGACCAATCTTAATGAAACTTGGTATGACCAAAGCTTATTAAATTATAGGACTGCTTACAAAGTTTCATGGCAATAGGATATATATTATAGACAATATGACTAATTCTATATTCAACTTTGAGTGTTAAATTTAGATGTTAAAATTGAAAATTTTCAACTATCAACATTTGGGGCTTAAAAAATTTAAATATTGCAAAAAAATACTTTTGAAATGCCTTAATATATAATATATTATGTATTAAAAGCAATAGAGTACTCATTTGATTTATCAGACTTATCATAATTATTAAAAAGTCAAATTTATATGAGCCTGTGGCTAAAAATGGAGGTTTTCCAATGAAGGGGGGCCTTACATGAAGATGTAATATTTTCCAGCAATTTTAAATTTGTAAAGCTTTTTGGTTATAAATAATCCTTACATATGTATTTAATGTACTTTAAATGGAAAGAAAACTTACAAATAACATATCACATTAGTTTAAAAGGGTCTTAGGCCAAGTAAGACTGAAAATAATTTAGGGTCAATTTAGGCCGTATCACATATTTACATTTAAAAATGCATATTGAAGCTATATGAAATAAAATTTTGTGTCTTTTCTATCATTTCTATACTCAGGTGACATGATACAATAAATCTGAGCACAAAAAGACTCTTGCATTCAACTTTTTTTGCAAACAGTATGGTCTGATACAAAGATTTTTCACTTTTTAGTGAAAAACATGCATGCAATTTTAGTCTCAACAGGCTTATATTTGAACCACTTGCTATCCTACAGAAGAAAAGAAAGATATTATGTGACATAAAACAGGTACAAAAGACATTGTTAAGTGCTTTTTATACAAATTTAGTGAGGTCTTTATAATGGACTTCAACTTTTATGTTCCAAGCTCCTCACATTTAACTCGATCCAAACAGGGCGTTAGACGAGGACCATATATACAACACATTTTGAACATATTGTCTGAGATAATCTTCTTTTCTGTAGATTCAGAGTTCACAAATGAGTAATACAACTGGATTGAAGCATAGAAACACAAATATTGACACATAAAAACCTGTCAGATAGAAAGTCAGAATGCCACTTATGCATCAAAATTGAAAAAGCTATGAAATGCTTATTTTGACCATAAAATGCCAAAATTGGTCATTTTTGCAGAAATTCTATCAAATAAAAGTTTTAATCCTTTAGTTTTATGCTATTTGATAAATTGACACCATCAAATCATTCAGGGAAGTTGCCAAAGTACAGATTCTATATTTCCTGATTTCACCTCTTAGGTCCGAGTACACAGTTATTTCGTAGTGCATTTCTTTTAGACAATAAATGAAAATTAAAAAAATCCCACCTGCGCTTTCTCAATAATATTTTTACAGTGTGTTGTACTACTTTTGGGACAAATTATATCAAAATTATAGAAAACTTCATCGGCTCTAACTCAAAATATGGACAATTTCATGCTGAGGGGGTCTTCAAATCTTTTGACAGCCTCCGAAGTGCTAATTTTTAACATTTTTCAGCTGGACCAAATCACTACTTTACTTTAAAATTCATGACCCAAATTTTTTTACAGTGTCATTTCACCCCCCTACTTACTATTTGAGTCATAAAACATGGAGAAATAAATTCGGAAGGGGTATAAAAAAAATCGACAAGTAACACACTGTCCACACTAGGGACTATATTCGTGGACAACGCAAATCAAAGGACGATAACTGTGTACCCGGACCAACTGTGGTCAGTGTATGTTGAAAATAGGTAGGATTTGGGCCCAGGTAGACTGTTTTATGCTTAACGTTAATGCAAGTTGAATCTCGAAATGTGGTCAATGTTGAGAATATGATTTTGAACATTGGTTTAATTGTGGGTTGTCAACAACTGAAATCATTACCACTTATTATATCCATCAGTGCCATTTTATGTGTAATAAAACTTTCACAAAACTATATGTACTCAGTGGTAGTAGTCATGTGTCGGTGGTTGATATACATGTAGTCTGTTGCAGAGTTCATTATTTAGAAGATTTCTGCCTGTTCCAATATTTCCCTTTTTGTATTTCGCTAAATTTTATGATTAAGTGAAAAATAAGTCATTCCCTTTGTTTTGGTAATTATTATACTTGTAATGAGACCACTCACTTCTGAATCTGGTGTTTATGATACAAGACTTGACAAGAAGAATAAGCACAACTTATTAACCTTACCAGGCATAGATAATCTTAAAACTTTATTGTGGTGTCAGTTGGCATACATTTTTGTACTTTCATTTTTCATAATAGACAGGATCATGTTTGTTCATACACAAAATATGTTTGTGACATAAAACAGTAATTATATAACATGTTGCTCACATATGCATCTTACAATTTCAAACAAACACATACTTAATTTAATTAAAAATGTTAGTCCTTTTGCTAGACACATTCCCGATATTTCTGGGCGTATTTTAGGTATATTGCACACTAGTTCCATAGTGTTGTCCATGTTGCACATTTGTGACTTGTAGCTATAGCATCTGCAACAGAAAAAAAAAACATATTATACTATCTTTATCATAATTAACTAGGTTAATATTATTTTGCAGCTCAAATAAAGAACACTACTTTAATATGTGAAAAAATAATCTCTGTGCAATGATATAGTTATTTTTTAAAATATTTATTGAGAGCAACCATGTGCTTTTTTTAAACTTGAGTTCAGATATAATAATACCCGTCATGTATTTTTCAGACATGGGTTTATTGCAATTGGTGAAGACATCTACAAAAAAGACACTTTTAAGTGCAGCATTTACAAATTGTCACAACTCCTTCTATAACTTGAAATAGAAAAATAAAGTTTCATATGTGTTAAACGCTTACAAAATTTGGACTTCCAAAACCTTTCACAATTTGGTTGAAAATCTTTAAGTTCAATTATTTTTATTGTATCTTTAAGGGAAATTTGTCCTGCAGAATCCAACAAGATTCTCGAATCAGTGGGGGATCCGGAAATTTTTATAAGGGGGTCCACTGAGTGTATAAGAGGGGACACACTCTAGTCATGCTTCAGTGTTTTCTTATACAGTCAACCAATTTTTTTCCCTCAAAAGGTTCGCCTCTGGGACCAAGGGCTTTAGAATTACTTTTAATCCTAAATCATAGTTTGAAGATCTCACAATAAGCTAATGGCATTTCAATTTATTTTATCTTGACAGTCACTCATCTTGAAAAACAATAATGCACCACAAGCACCAAGATCTTGACAGTCACTCATCTTAAGAAACAATAATACACCACAAGCACCGAGATCTTGACAGTCACTCATCTTGAGAAACAATAATGCACCACAAGCACCGAGATCTTGACAGTCACTCATCTTGAGATACAATATTGCACCGCAAGCACCGAGATCTTGACAGTCACTCATCTTGAGATACAATATTGCACCGCAAGTACCGAGATCTTGACAGTCACTCATCTTGAGATACAATAATGCCCCACAAGCACCGAGATCTTGACAGTCACTCACCTTGAGATACAATAATGCCCCACAAGCACCGAGATCTTGACTGTCACTCATCTTAAGATACAATAATGCAACGCAAGCACCGAGATCTTGACAGTCACTCATCTTGAGATAAAATGAGGCCTCACAAGCACCGAGATCTTGACAGTTTCTCATCTTGAGATACAATAATGCCCCACAAGCACCGAGATCTTTACAGCAACTCATATTGTTCAGTGGCGGATCCCGAAATTTTCATAAGGGTTGGCCCACTGACTGCCCTAAGAGGGGGCCCGCTCCAGTCATGCTTCAGTGATTCCCTTTATAATCAACAAAATCTTTCCCACAAAAGGGGGGACCCGCCTATGTTGTTAGTATAAAACCCATAAAACAACGCGTTTCGGCAGATAAAGCTTTGGGTGGTCACCTTAAGATGCTTTAGCTGTATTTGGCAAAACTTATAGGAATTTTTGGTCCTCAATGCTCTTCAACTTCGTACTTTAGTTTGACCTTTTTAACATTTTTTGATTCGAGCGTAACTGATGAGTCTTTTGTAGACGAAACGCGAGTCTGGTGCAAATACAAAATTTCAATCCTGGTATCAATGATGAGTTGATTTACTTTCATATAATTCAAAATGAATATTATTCATGGACTATTTATTTTATTGATATATTTCATTATATTTTTCAATATTTCAACAATTAATATTTTCAGCATGTTAATTTGCTATACCCAAGCAGTAGTTCAACTTTGAACCTTTGTTTACATTCTTCTTCAAACTGCAAAATATTCAAGTCTTTCCGACGTGATACGTCTTTTTTAAATTTTACGTATACATGCATATGGGTTATAGATATAAGAAGATGTGGTATGAGTGCTAATGAGACAACTCTCCATCCAAGTCAAAATTTATAAAAGTAAACCATTATAGGTCACAGTACGTTGGTTCAACGTTGTGTGCCTGCTGGGATTTAATTATGTACAGATGACTGAATTTAGGCAATAATAATTACTAAATAATTAATATAATTATAATTAATTCATAGGAATGTCATCATAAAATTTTCAAAATTATATTCATAATGTGCTGAGGTGTAAGAACAAGTTAAGTAAGAACTGGATATATTTACAAATAAGAATTTAGAATTTAAGTGGTCTTAATTTAAACTTTCTTATAAGTGTTAGTTAAAGGTGCTATGCGTACATCAGAATTTATAATGAGAAGGTTATTCTATAAGACTTATGTAAAGGGGTTGGGGTTTAGAACAATTCAACATATATACATAAGTTTTCCTTCACAGTTTAAAATTACCTTATTTCGGAACTTATCATTATTCTTTAAAGGTACTTGATATCTTAAAACTTTGCAAAAAATTTAATTTAGGTCCTAATAAGTCATAAAATAGTATGATGGTAAAGTAGGGAACTATTTTATTTTAAAAAAGTTTACTTATACTTATACTGTACTTGTGTTCAAGTTTTTTATCCTTTTTGTGCGCATCATGTGCATCTCGTAGCACATATTTCTAGCCAGAGGTTCAATGTTTTCATACACAGTTGAGTAACAGTTTATGTCCTTGCTAGTACAGTCCATTATGAGCTGCAGTAAATTCCCTTGTTGTATGATCTTCTTGTATGTTAAGGTATCAATTTCATCCATTGTCTGTTCGATTTTTGAGCAATATTTAGATCTTATTTGCTCCAATTCTTTGCAGCGTAGAATAAAATGTTTCTAGATCTTCATTTTCCTGTTCACAGATTGTACATATCGGGTTAACTTTCGGATCGAACTTAGCTCTTTTGGCTTGTAATATGTACGTTTGAGTACTTATTCTTGCTTTAATTTCTCCTGCCTTTGCATCTTTACTATTGTTTTTTACGCTTTTCCATATATTGTGTGCTTCATTTAATGGATTGTTCTGTATCTCTATGTATTTAAGTGATGTTTTTTCCATTTTTTCATAATGACATTCATTTTTCCAGTATTCCTTGATCTTTATTCCTACTAGTCTTTTCCATTCGATTTTCTTAAGTGGTTTTTCTAAGTAGTAACTACTAGATTTCAAATTGTAATATGATAGAGTTTTTTCCACTCTGTTGATAACGTCTTTTCCTCTTTGGTCTGAGAATGCAATTTGTCGACGCAGAATTTCACATTCTATGGTTCCTGAATTTCAAACAATATTCATGAAGAAGGTAAGTAGATTTTTGTCTAATGTGATGGCAATAGGTTCTGCTCCTACCAGGGTATAGACAGCCATATTTGCTGTATTATTTGGAAGCCCTTGAATTTGTCGGAGGATTTTTCTCTCTGCCAGTTCTAGCATATCCTTTTCTTTTGCAAGTAAGTTCATCACCTAAAGTCCGTAGATGCTTCTTGGTACTGCATATGTTCTCCATAGCTTGTATGCGACCATGGGTGAGAATCCCCTTCTGACATGTAAACCGGCTCCTAGAAGGCTGTATATTGTTGCCCTGCCGGTTCTTATTCTTTCTGAGATATTTCCCCGGTTTTGCTCGTTTCTTTTGATACCTAGATGTTTGGTTTCATTGGTTATATTGATGTCATCGTCTTCGAATTGCAGTGTTGATATGTTTGAGCCTTTTGCATTGTATAAAACAGCTTCAGATTTAGTTGGATTGATTTTAACTAGATCTTTGCTTGTATGGTGCTGTACTATGTCTAATATTCCTTGTGCGTCTGCAGTACTATTTGCCAGACAGCAATGTCATCGGCACATGTGGGTGCAGGGACTTGTATATCACCAATACATGCTCCAAGTCCACTTTTTAAAATGCTATCCAGTATGACGTTGTTGTAGCATTTATATAGCGTTGTAGATAGTTTTGCACCTTGTTGAATTCCTTGTAACACCATTACATCTTCTGTACATTGACCTTCCCATTTAACCTTAATGCTCATGCCTTTATACAAGTTTCTCAGTAGTATCCAGAGTTTTCCTTTTATTCCATAATGGTACAGCTTGTTGAATAGTATTTCATGGTTTAGTTTGTCAAATGCTTTTTCTGCATCAAGAGTTATTAAAATCATCAGTATCTTTAATTTCTTACTTTCGTCGATTGCTTCTGATGTGAGGAAAGCTGCGCATAGTGATGACACTCCTTCTGTAAAGCCTCTTTGCAAGGAGTTTTGTATGTTATTAAATACAGAGTCAACTCTATCCTTCAGTATACTTTGTAATATTTTTGCAAAGGTTTTAGTCACAGTTATTCCTCTATAGCTAGATGGTAATGTATTGTCTTTTTCTTTCTTTAGGATTGGTGTAAGAATCCCTGTCTTTAGGAAGATTGGTACATCCAGATATGTTAAAATTAAATTTAGCAAATGTACTATAAAGGGATTTAACTCATCCATCCCATATTTGTAGTGTTCTGCCGAAATTCCATCCTCATCCGGTGCTTTTCCTGCTTTAAGTTTTTCTATAGCTTTATTAACCTCCTTTACATTGACATGATCAATGCCTTGACCTTTTTCCCTTTCTATGGATTCTATTATATTGTTTTGTATTTCTACAAGCTCTAGCTTTTTCTAGATTTCTTATATCTTGCTCAATGATTCCTTTTGATTTTTGCATGAGGTTTGGTAGATCTTTATTGATGATTTCCTTATAAATTTGATGGTCACAGTCAGTCCATTTAGGTTTTGCTATGATAGTTGTTGCTTTTTCCCTTACATGTACTTTTTTCAGTTGGCTATTCAGTGTCAGAATAACAGGTACATGGTCCGAGGTATTCTCTGGGTCAGTATCAAGAACATCAATTTGTCTGATTTTATTTATTATTTCCGATTTACTTTTGAAGAGGAAGTAATCAATTTGTCCTCTCGATTTACCATTCTGGTGATAAAATGTTTCTTTTAATGGACATCTATCAGTATTTCCTATACATTTTTCCTTGCAGAAAGTTTGTAGAATTTTATCATGAGGTGAAGAGCTTCTATGGAGTGACCCGTTCATGTCTCCACATACTATAATTTCGTGTGTATCTTTATATTTCTCTATCATTTCATCAATTTGAGCCAAAGTGTCTTTGTATTCGATATCTGCATTTTTGTTATCTGATGGCATATATACATTTATAAGACATATTGGTTTGTCTCCTTGTTGAATATGTATGGCTTGTATTCTATTCCCACCGTCTATCAGTTCCTTCATATTTTATATTAAATGACCAGTAAAGACCCACTGTTTAATAATAAATTGAATTAACACTATCAATTTAAATAAAATTTAGATATTTTTGTCTCAAGG